TGGTGATGGTGATGAGACTCACCGTTGAGGGCGCGCTTTTGAGACCTTAGTGAGCTGGATTCTCGCTCAGTTTCGGACACCAACAAAAACTTGACTCAAGATTCCCAGACTGAGCGCGGCTGCTTTTGCTTTTCTCTCGCGACCGAGGTAACGTGGACGCGTCTTTATATGAGCGGCGTTTGAGGGTCTAAACTCATAAAGATTTGCGTGGGCTGGGGAGGATTGCACCTCCTATCTCAGGGCCGCTGAGACGAGCGGTCGTAAAGTGCGCGCACGTGTGTGTGCGTGTGTGCGTCTGCGTGTGCGTGCGTGTGTGCGTCTGCGTGTGTGTGCCGTCGGGACGTGTGAGGATAGATTTTAGAAGGGTTGGTGACCTATGGTCTATGAGTGAGAGAAGTGTATTAAGGTGTAAGGCAATCGTTGTGTTTTGCATGTGTGGAATGTGTGCGCGAGTGTGTAAATGAGAGTGTGTGTGTGTGACTTTGTAGTGTTTGTGTGTGCGTGTGAGTGTCTCTGTGTGTCTCTGTGTGTATGTATGTGCGAGTGGGGAGCAGTAGTGTAGCGATTTGACGCGCTACGCTACGAACCCGGCGACCCGAGTTCGATTCCCGCTCACGGCCAACACCGGTGACGATTACCTGAACTTGTCCTGGGCCTCCCCTAGGTCGACTCAGCCTCAAATCAGTACCTGGTGCGGTGTGTAAATATTGGAGACAAAGGCGGCCGGGCGTGGTCTTGGCCACCCACCCCCTCGTGTGCCACAGTGCCGCCCTTCATAGGCGAGCGTTCACAGTACTTGCTCCAAAAGTCTATTAGGGGCCGTTCATAAATGACGTCACGCACCTAGGGGGGGGGGGTCAGACATTTGTGACGATGTGTGACGAGGGGGGGGGGGTTGAGAAATGTGACGTCACATAAAAATGCGCAACTTTAAATACATATAGACAACACGTTCTACTTAATTAAATATACTTTTTAATGATTGTTTTCTCCTACAACATCAGAGTGCATCGCCACATTAAATAATACTACAATGACAATAGTTTAAAGTGATTTGAAGCATGTTTTATTTGGGGGGGGCAGAGCTTTGTGACGTCATATTTGAAGGGGGGGGGGTCTGACTTTTTGTGACGCCGTGTGACGAGGGGGGGGGGGGGTCAAAAATCGTCCAAAATCGCGTGACGTCATTTATGGACGGCCCCTTGAGCTTTAAGGGGTATCTTTGCCGTGTATATCGGTGTATATGTGTGTATTTGGGTTCGATTTGCAACACGTGTTTTAGTGGTAATTGAATTGAAGGCGGCAGTGGAGAATGGCGGTTGTTGTTGTTGTTGTGTGTTGTGTGTATTATGGGAGAGCGGTGGCGCAGTGGTTAGCGCGCTGTGCTACGAACTCGACCCGCGTGGCGATGTGCCAACAACCCCCACCACGGCCGACCGACCAACAGGGCTTAGCGTGGGAGAGAGGCCTTCAAACGAAAGCGCGCGCTGTTTATTTATTTATTTAGTCGCTCCTTTGTGACGACATGGGGAGAGGGGCGGCACGTGGCGATGTTTATTTATTTATTTAGTCGCTCCTTTGTGACGACATGGGGAGAGGGGCGGGGCGGGGCGGCGCGTGGCGATGTTTTGTATTTATTTATTTACTCGCTCCTTTGTGACGACAGGGGGAGAGGGGCGTGACGTGGCGTGGCGGCACGTGGTGGTGTTTTATATTAACGACTGCTCGGGAAGCCATTTTCTGGACGTCTGTGGGAAAAAGAAGAACTTTATAGCTCATCGGATTCCTCCAGTTTAAACAAATATTTGGATTAGTTTTTATGGGGGGGTGGGGGGGGGGGTGGGAGGGTTATGGACGTGCCCTGTTTATGAAAAAAATATAAGGAGGGGGTGGAAGGGAGGGGGAAAGTGCGTTGAATCGACGTGGCGAGTGAGGCGAGGGACATCGAGGGGGGGGGGAGGGGGGCTGTAGGTGTGGGGTCGGTGTGGGGTGCCTCGGTGCAGCCGCCCCCCTCCACGCTTGTGAACAGGAGCGGTGTTCCAAGGCCACCGCACTCGCACGTGTCGGCCACTAGGGGTCAGACCGCGTCCGGATCAGACCGCCGTGAACACAAAGAATTGAATCTTGATTTGCGGCCGTTCATAAATGACGTCACGCGATTTTGGACTATTTTTGACCCCCCCATTCGTTACAAAAAGTCAGACCCCCCCTCAAATATGACGTCACAAAGCTTTGCCCCCCCCCCCCCCCTCCAAGAAATAAAACACGTTTCAAATCGCTTTAAACTATTGTCATTGTAGTGCGTATTTATTGTGGCGCTGCACTCTATTTAATAAAGTAGAACGTGTTGTCTATATTCATTTAAAGTTGCGAATTTTGATGTGACGTCACTTTTCTCAAACTCCCCCCCCCCCTCGTCACACATCGTCACAAATTTCTGACCCCCCCCCCCCTAGGTGCGTGACGTAATTTATGGACGCCCCTTTCTGTAAAGTCACGTAGGTAGAAAATAATCGATCACGAAACGTCGTGATCTGTTATTTTTTCTACTTATGTGACTTTACCGAACGAACCAAATAATTGAGTGCACGTGGAGAGCGACACCACAGCTGCTGCTGATGATGCTCCTGCTGCTGCTGCTGCCCGGCAGTTGTTTTTTTATTTGCTTGTTTATCCCTCGTTATAGCTTTCACAGGGCAACTGTGTGCGTGTGTCAGCGAACAGCTACAAAGGCCGGCACGGCACACGAGGGGTGGGTGGGTGGTCAGCACCACGGCCCAGCCGCATTTGTCTCCCCAGTGGCGATGTTTACACACCGCTCTAAGTACTCATTTGAGGCTGAGTCGACCTAGGGGAGGCCCAGGACCGGTTCAGATAATCGTCGCTGTGTGTTGGTGGCCGTGAGCGGGAATCTTTGTCTTTGTGTGTGAGAGAGAGAGATAGATAGAGATCACCTTCGCCTCGCCGTCTTCTCTCTCTCGCTCTGGCGCATCGAGCGAGGGCAGGAGTCGAACCGAGGTCGCGGAGATCGTAGCCAACATGATGCGCGCGTGTGTGGGTGGATATGTGGAGCGGTGCCGCAGTGGTTAGTACGCAAAAAAATACACAAATACAAAGATCCCCCGTATAGCCTGTAACAGACTGTAGGGGCAAGTGCTGTTAGCGAGCATCTATGAAGGCCGGAACGGCACACGAGGGGGTGGGTGGCCAGCACCACGCCCGACCGCCTTTGTCGATGTTTTACACACCGCACCAGGTACTCATTTGAGGCTGAGTCGACCTAGGGGAATAGCCCAAGACCGGTTCAGATAATTATCACCGGTAATGGTAGCCGTGAGCGTGAATCGAACTCGGGTCGCCGGGTTCGAAGCGCAGCGTAGCGCTAACCACTACACCACCGCTCCCCGGTGTCACACGCAGACACGCAGACAAGCACGTGTGCACCAAATGCCGCACACCTGCCATCAATGCAGAATTGTGTGCTGGCCAAGATTTGTCATCGCTCATTCTCACCCCACGTTAATAATGTCTGTTACAAAGATTTAAAAAAACTATGCAACTATCACCTAGTTTTTAAATTTCGCCAGGTAAGGCCCACTGAGCTACAAAATTCGTCTTCAGAAGCGACCTGGCCACGAATGATAGCTCAACGTCGTGGCTTTTCACGTGGAAATGCAGAACAGCTAAATACTCGAAACGCGTCTCGATTCTAAATGTGGAGGGAAAAACCCGAAGGACCCGGAGAAAAATCCACGCGACCACGGCGAGAAAGACACGCAAACTCCAGATATACAGGCGTCGTCTGGGTCGGGATCGAACCCACGACCTCCTGCATACCAAGCGAGGGAGTTAACATCTTGCCTTGCATCAGTATATTCATCTTGTGCTACTCTACTATTATGCACGCACGCGCGAGCCAATTAGCTATTAGTGCTCGGGAGAAAAGTCGAATTTTTAAATGTCTCCTGTGGGGCCCAACGACGAATGTTACTTAACCAGTGTATATCACTCGCTATGACGATTGATCCGATAACACGATTGACGCGGGGAATTGAAAAGCTGAGAAGTGCGCGAAGGAATGTGTTCAGGGGCATGCCAGGGATCACACTGGGACACGCAGAGAGAGAGAGAGAAAGATGGACACGTGGATTCGAGAACACTCGCCTAGTCACGAGCACAATATTGAGTTATGTAAAGCGCGCTTGGGCAAGACACATCACGAGGAAGGATGATGATGACCCGATGGTCGACGGGCAGATGAGGGTGTCCGCCTCGTCGTTGGGGTAGCCATGAGGTCAGCCCACGTCAGAGGTCGCAAGCGGGTACCCGATACCCGTACCCTACCCGATACCCGGCTACCCGTACCCGGCCGGGTACAGGTACGGGTACCCGTTTGCGACCCTGGTGCGGCCGGTTACGGGTACGGGTAGGCCGTGAGTCACTGGTGAGTCACCGTTTGTCACTGATTTCCCAACGTCTTGTCTCTTCTCACAATTCAAGTTCCTAGCATCAACCCACCCGCGCCTGCAACATGGCTTCATCCCAGAGGTCGCAATCGGGTACCCGTACCCTGCCCGATACCCGGTCGGGTACGGGTAGCCCGGTATCGGGTAGGGTACGGGTACCCGTTTGCGACCCTGGTGCAGCCGGGTACGGGTAAGGAATCAAAACCCGTTTGCGACCTCTGACCCACGTGTCGGAGGAGCGAGAACGGATTGGTTCGCCGCAAAATGACAATCAACTTCATGATTATACTTCATCGAAGGCTAACTTACAATAATACACCGAAATAAAATGTAAAAAAAAAACCCTCAGCAATCGACGTGAGATAACTCGACATATGGCGAGGGATGACGAACCCAGATCCATTGAAAACGAAGAAGCCTTTGATCGACGACCGCCGCCACGTGTTCTCAGCTGTGCCGTGTGTGACGTCACCGCGCCACGTGACCGACGACAAAGACCCCCAACGTGGACAAGGGAGCGGCACATGCGCGCGTTCAATGGTCACGTTTATTTGTCGGATGAAAGTGCTTCGAATTACAGCAATAGCATGAACGCCAATGTGTCACCCAGCAACAGAAGACATAATTATAATAAAAAGAAAGATTAATAAATTAACAATAGCAAAGAATATCTCTTTCTCCCTTCCCCTCTCTCTCTCTCTGTATATATATTATTTTGTACAGCACCACGCGATATTTTATATATTTAGAAAAAAGTGACGCTATGTTATCGTGTATATATATACTGTTTATAGACACAACCGATGCAAAGAACAGCTCTTATTCCTAACTTCCACAATCCCGCGTTCACTTTCAACTAACATCAAACGATACTCACGTACGCATTAGCAAATCTTGAATCTCCGCTTAAGTGGTACGCACGCACGCGCGCGCACGCACGTACACAACCATACTGTCGATTCCTTACAATAGCTCTCGTTTTGCATTTTACAAAGATTTCCGTTTTACAGCGCCTGCGACCGATGGAGAGAGAAAAAAAACCACCCCCAGGAATCCACGCGGCTTTCGAGCGCCAAGGAAAAAAAATAAAAACCGCAGTCTCAGTTTGTTGTTTGCGCCCCGCCCCCCCTAACCAGACACGTGGAGAGATAGATGAAAACGCGATGACATAAACAAAACAAATATTCCCTGGACGCGTTGCGCAGTGGGGCACGGCGACCACTGGGGCTGACTAATCTTTCTCTCTCTCGAGACGACGACGACGACGAAATGACAGAGGTATCACATCGGTTCAGTCCATTTTGTAAAAATTAGATTTTTTGTGTCGTGGTGTCACTTTTCAAAGTTTGTTTTCCCTTCCGATCGTTGGTTTTGTTTTTAGTTCGTTCATCGACACGTGCAACGTCCAGCAATCATTGTTGCTGGTTGGTTTGCGTTCTCGTGTTTGTTCACTCGTTGTTCAGGTGTTCCTCCATCTCCGTTTTGTTCCGCGGCGAAACTCACGAGATCAGTTGTGGAGTTTTTTTGTCTTATTCCCATCAGTCCCAGAAATAATTGTAACTTATTTCACGACTCTCTCTCGCTCCTTCGCCTCTTCGTCAACCAATCCATCCCTCGATCCCTTTCTGCATCCCAACTTTTCCCACGGGCTAATTCCCCCATTCCAACACCACCAACGACCCCCCCCCTCCATCCCTCGGCCACCTTCCCCTACACGGACGTCGCTTCTCTCTACGTTCACGTTCACTACCAGGATCCCTGCCATAGCCGCGGGGCGGTTAACGTGTTGTCGGAGGCCTGCCGCAGGGAATCGCGTTTCCTCTCTGGGCCACGCGAACCGTCAACACGGCCACGAGGCACGGCACACCATGGGTTACCTGCGGTAGAACTGCTTTTATGCGTCGAGTTTGTTGTTCTTCCCCCGCACCTCCGATTAGCACGGTGCGAAACAAGGTCAACATCACGTACAAAAAGACAAAGATCCCCGTATAGCCTTAACAGACTGTTGGGGCAAGTGCTTTTAGCGAGCACCTATGGAGACCGAAACGGTACACAAGGGGGTTTGGTGAACAGCACCACGCTCGAGCGCCTTTGTCTCCCAGTGGCGATGTTTACACACTGCATCAGGTACTCGTTTGAGGCTGAATCGACTTAGGGGAGGCCCAGAACCTGTTCAGATAATCGTCACACTGGTGTTGGCCGTGAGCGGGAATCGGCCTCGGGTCGCCGGGTTCGTAGCGTAGCGCTAAATCGCTACACCACCGCTCCCCATAACTTACAAACACATACCACCAACCTCGGCTCCGGCTATTTTATAATCACACCCCTTGTAACTACTCCGTGCGACAGCGGCACCAGACACACGCACAACGCAGCCACCGCCATCATCGCTGTGCTGTGCCCCCAACACTTTTACCCGCCACGACGTTCGTCCAAGAGAAGGAATGCGAGGATGATAATAAAACTTCGAATGTTTTTTTTCCGTTTTCTCCAAGTGCTGGCCCCGTGTTTTGTTCCGATTGTGTACGTGATTAAGTGCAATACATACACGCACACATAAATGTGTATACGGCTTAATAAATATAAAACTTGAAAGAAGACTCACCCCAAACAAAACACTTTGGGGGGGGGGGGGGAAGAGTGGTTTGTTTGTTTTTTGTTTTACAAACTTGTGGGCCGTGTATCTCGAGCCGTGTTACGCGAGTTCGTTAAGTTCGTTCGAGCAGAGCCAAGCACGTGTTGACTTTTCGGAGTGCCGACATAGGGCCCTCGAGGGCCAATCACAGCCGGCTTCTCTGATCGTCACACCGAGGGGGGCCGGAGGGGGGCGGGCAGAGAAAGGGGGGGGGGCAGATTTGCACCCCGTGGTGGCATCGCAAAGTAGCCATGAGCTGGTCGTTGAAAAGTTAATCGGAAGTTTGTTTTATTTTCAAGCAAAGTTCCATGCCGCAAAGCAGTGGGTCGACTCTGTTTTGGTTCGGTTCGTGAAAACGTCCAATTGTTTTGCCTGGGTCGTGTCTTTCCGTAAACGTGACATACTTTACTACATTCTTCATGAACAAACGCCACCTTGTCACGGAACATATATCCCGTATATCCTGCAATGAGCTCACGTCTCGGGCAGTAAGACTTCGTAAATTAACAGTTTTCATTTCGGGGCCGAACTATATAAGTCGCCGTTATCTCCTGCCTATCGCCTGCCTATCGGAAGGCCCATTTTTTCTAACCGTCAGCCTTTGCATGTCGATATATACACAAGGTCATTGATAATATAACGAAGGTTTCTCAAACTGCAGCGATCCTTTAAAACCCGCCATGATTCTGATTTTCCGCGTTTACCACTCACCGGTCATTCTCCGATCAAATACAAATGAAGTCGTAACACGCTGCACGTGCCCACTGATTGGTCAACGTGAGCGCTGATTTATATTTGTCTGTGTGTGTGTGTGCTTGCGTGCATGCGTGCGTTGACGAACACGTTGCGCGTTCCGAACTCGATATCAATTCGAATCAGCGCTCTCAAAAGTCACGTGCGGTGTTTTTTTTTTGTTTACCAAAAATTAATCGGGCAGTGGGAACGCGAATCGACGCACATTTTGCATTCGAACAGATGGCGTTGGCGGAAATGCGTATCACGGAGAGCGGCGAATAAGTGAGGTCTGGAAAAAAAAAACCTGTAATGCACACCACAATTAAATCTTTTTTTGCGCGAAATGGCATCGAGATAACGCACCTCGAGCAGACAGATTGCTTTGGCTATTCCAGAGTATTGCACGCGCAACACACAAAGATAAAGAGCAACACGTCGTGACATCGTCGTTCATCGTCATTCCATCACAATTCCACGGAGCCGCAGGACCACGCGCCAGATAAACCAGGTGAGAAAATATATATCCCACAAAACACTTATCCGATATAATTGTCTTCCCCATACACAAGCGTGTGTAGTTAAACGAATAAGGAGATACAGAGTCTAGAACGCCTCCCCTGCTTTTAGCCGTGGCCTAGAATCTGCACTCAGCTCGCTGGGTTCATAGCGCAGCGCGCAAACCAAGGCGCCGCTGCTCCTGCCACCGTGTGGAGGCCTTCATCAAGCAGGGGATTGATACACACCTGCAATGATTCATTTCCCAAAGAAGGTTAGGTAGACAAAATACTTGATATGTTTCTCCGAGCAACAGAAAGATAAATGAAAAAAAATACTTTTTGTGACGTTTGTGCCGAAAATTATTCCCTGTTCCAACGAGGGTTGGATAAGGATCGTTTCGGTTAGCGGCCATGAGCCAGCGGTAACCATTCCACATTCCCACGACAGGGGCCAGTCTATCGACAGGGCAACCATTTTATTATGTTTTATTTTTATTATTTTATTACTTCCCTTCTACGTGACTTTACCGAAAGAACCAAGAAGAGGGCAACCACTGTTGTTGACGTTCCACAAAATGGGTACGAATTATTTTGTGAAGAACCACGGAGGGATGATGTGGACGATGAGCCGAGTCGAGGCAATGTCCGACCAGGATTTCAACTCGGGGGAACCTGCCGCGTGCGATTCGCGTTGACGTGATGCGGTGCGTGAGCTTGCGAAAATCAAAGTGCCGTCGAAATAATAAACGCTGAGGATTACAGATTGCAATACGATGACATCGTCGCCTTACATCAGAATTCCACGTGTAATTCAGTTCCTCTTCACTTCGCGTAAACAAATATTCAGTCTCAAATACAAACACATCAATTCACGCGGAGTTGTCTGCTGCCGAGTGACGGGGGGGGGGGGGTGTACACGGGGTTGGTTTAACCGGTAGACGCGTGGGGAACTATTTCGAAGTTGTGGGAGGGAGGAGATCCATGGTGATGTAGGCGGGGGGGGGGGGTCCGAATCCTGTTGCAGAAGAGGGCTATGAAGTATATTGATTTGAGGTGGGGGGGGGGGGGGAGCACAGCAGTTTTCTTGCTCCAACCTCTGTCCAAGTGTTCGTTTGCGGTGGCTCAGCTGCCACCGATGATTCATCCCCACGTTCATCAGGATGGCAGGCAGAGTCTCTGCTGCTGCTGCTGTAGGCCTTGGTCGCTGCTTCTGCGGCAGCAGCAACTGCTGCTGCTGCTGAACGAGGTCCATTCCGTCAGGTTGCTCCGTTACCTTTCAGCTTCTGCTGCTGCACAGCGTGGCGCGCCTTGCGCTCGCGATCCAGCTCGCCGCACAGCGTCTCTGCAACGAGACGACGCCGCGTCTGAGTCACCCGCGGTGGAGGTGACGGTGGCGGTGGAGGTGGCGGTGGAGGTGGAAGTGGAGGTGGAAGTGGCGGGGGTGGGGGGAGATGCACGCCGATGCTGAACGCTCCGCGTAGACGGATTTAACGACCGATGTTATCCATGATAAATGTATTTTATTTTTTTACTTTTGGGTTAGATCGCGTAAATATGAATGTGTCGTTACGCACTGTGAATTGTAAATGTTGTGGGTTTAGTCTCCAGCACACACACACCGGTGTGACTCCAGCACACACACCGGTGTGTGTGCTGGAGACTAATTGGAACGTTTGGTTTGGGTGACAAACCTCACAAATTGTCTGTGTCGGGTGGTAGTGGGTTTAACGACGCAACTCCAACCACGACCCCAACCCCTACCACCATCCCAACCACGACCCTAACCCCTACCACTATCCCTACCACTACCTCCAACCCCTAGCCACTATCCCAACCTCTCCCTTAACCACTCCCGCTTGTGCTCCTGTCACCAATAACTACACCGCCACTTTTAATAACAACCCCACTCACTACCCTTTATGATCTCAACCACTCTCATCTTAAGTAAAAGTGTATCGTTGTTGTAAAGCGCCTTAGAGTAATGCGCTTCATATAAATCTACTTAAGATACGATCTCGAATTTTCTCCGGCCTGCACGATTATCCCGTTACGATGATGGCGGACGTTCTAATTATTTACAGATGTCATTGTTGTTGGCATGAGCCGAGCTAATTGGGACCCATAGTGTCGAAGTGGGGGGGGGGAGCCTACGTGTGGCTTCCCAGAGACAGGACTTGTCAGCTATGCCGTGCCGATGAGCCCTAATAAGGGGGAAACCGCCGTCCGTAGGAGTCTATTTTTGCATCACCGCTGCCTGACAGTCGGTCACATTTTGCTCGAATTCATTCTGACGTTGGCTATCAACAACAAGGCAACTCCTATGACTAATTGGGAATGGGACGCAAGCGTAGGATTGATCACCCTGTCGCTGGCCGCCTTTGGGGAGGGTGTATAATATGAAAGGCCGAAACACCCTACAAACCAAAGGTTCACTACTGACGATGCGCTCCCCAAATTTCACCAGGCTCACTGTTCATGAACTCTTGGAAGTGCTTGCACAAAGGATAGTAACATCTCATCCTATGTTATTCATAATCAACGATTTTTGGGTTTAGATCGCGTTTATTTATAAATGTGTCGTAACCCTCCACCACCCGACACGGCCAATCAGTAAAAATGTGTCACGTTGACAAAGACAAATAGTTCACTGCTTTAGCCCACCGGTGTGTTGAAGCAACAACATTTACAATTTGAGTACGACGTTTCGCTGGTAATTGCAATCAGCATCATCGGGCAATTCGCCATCATCGGGCAATTCGCCATTCTGGCGAATTGCCCGATGATGCTGATTGCAATTACCAGCGAAACGTCGTACTCAAATTGTAAATGTTGTTGCTTCAACACACCGGTGGGCTAAAGCAGTGAACTATTTGTCTTTGTCAACGTGACACATTTTTACTGATTGGCCGTGTCGGGTGGTGGAGGGTTATGACACATTTATAAATAAACGCGATCTAAACCCAAAAATCGTTGATTATGAATAACATTGGTCGCGAAAGCCTACGTGTTAAAATCATCCTATGTTCTTGGAATCTGACGGTGGCCTCACACAAGAGGGCCACCGCTGGGACTCAAGGTAAGTGAAAATAAAACGGATTTCTTTTTTCTTTTCACGTTACCTTACTTTATGTTTCATTCATTATCCAGTATTTATTGCAGTCATACGTGCATATGTACAACATTTCTTCTTATTTATGAGTTTAACAATGCTCCCCCTTGTTTTATCGAACCACATCAAATTTTATAACACTGACCGTATTATATACGGTACAATTAAATTGCCGAGTTCCGAGATACGAAGAAATCGACTTACGAACGGGCACCAGGAACATTTAACACGTTCGTAACCCGTTCGTAAGTCGGTGACTGCACTAGATTCCACCATGGGAGACCCCCCCCCCCCCCCCGAACCCTGACACCACCACCCTGCTCCACCATGCCATGGATTGTCGCGATTCAAGTTGTCTCCTCTATACCGTCCGACTCGTTTGTTGAGTATTGGCTGGTCTTTGCTGCACTATCTCGTCGTTTCGCTGCACAGTTGTTCGTGCATGCACTGAACGAACAACGGGTTAGGGGGGTAGTGGGGTTAGGGGGGTAGTGGGGTTAGGGGGGTAGCGGGGTTAGGGGGGTGGTGGGGTTAGGGGGTAGCGGGGTTAGGGGGGTAGCGGGGTTAGGGGGGTGGTGGGGTTAGGGGGGTGGTGGGGTTAGAGGGGTAGCGGGGTTAGGGGGTAGCGGGGTTAGGGGGTGGTGGGGTTAGGGGGTGGTGGGGTTAGGGGGTGGTAGGGGGGTGGTGGGGTTAGGGGGGTAGCGGGATTAGGGGGGTAGTGGGGTTAGGGGGGTGGTGGGGTTAGGGGGGTGGCGGGGTTAAGGGGGTAGCGGGGTTAAGGGGGTAGTGGGGTTAGGGGGGTTAGGGGGGCAGTGGGGTTAGGGGGGCAGTGGGGTTAGGGGGGGTAGCGGGGTTAGGGGGGTGGTGGGGTTAGAGGGGTAGCGGGGTTAGGGGGGTAGCGGGGTTAGGGGGGTAGCGGGGTTAGGGGGGTAGCGGGGTTAGGGGGGTAGCGGGGTTAGGGGGGTAGCGGGGTTAGGGGGGTAGCGGGGTTAGGGGGTAGTGGGGTTAGGGGGTAGTGGGGTTAGGGGGTAGCGGGGTTAGGGGGGTAGCGGGGTTAGGGGGGTAGTGGGGTTAGGGGGGTAGTGGGGTTAGGGGGGTAGTGGGGTTAGGGGGGTAGCAGTGTTAAGGGTTCACGGGAGGGTATGAGGGGAGAACGAGGCGAGAGGGTTAGGGGTTCGTGAGGGAGGCAGGGAGGGAGAGTTGTCGGGGTGGTTATTGTAAATGGGGCTTCGTGAAGCCTCATAGACCGGGAGACGTCATAAACCACTCCCGTAAACATTCACAATCGATTTCGTTTACGCTCCACGCCGCGTTGTTTAAATGTCGTCCCGATCGTCGCGCCGTCCGTGTAAACCGTGGCGCCGAGATGACGAGAGCCAAACTCCGGCGCCTTTTTATGTTGTCCTCATCGCGGTTGCCGAGCACAGCAACAAACAGCACGGTTAAAAAAAATTAAAAGTTGATGAAAAAAAGTGAAGACGTTTTTTTTTTAATTTACGAATGTAAGACTGCTGACCGAGGGGAGTGGTGTCTTGGACCGGTTCAGATCATCGCCACTGATGTTCGCCGTGTGTACACGTGACACACAGGCACCCCAAAGACAAAGACCCCCGTATAGCCATATAACAGGCTGTTGGGGCAAGTGCCGTTCGCCTCTGCAGGTCGGCACGGCACACGAGGGGGTGGGTGGCCAGCACCACGCTCGGTCGCATTTGTCTCCCTAGTGGCGATCTTTACACATCGCACCAGGTACTCATTGGAGGCCCAGAACCGTCACTGGTGTTGCTGGCTGTGAGTGGGAATCGAACTCGGTTCGCCGGTATCGTGGGGCAATGCGGCACTAAAAACTGCACCACCGCTCCCCACAAAATGCACACCGTATATAACAAAGACAAAGATCCCCCTATAGCCTTGACATACTGTTGGGGAAAGTGCTGTTAGCGAGCACCTATGGAGGCCGGCATGGCACACCAGGGGGTGAGTGGCCAGCACCACGCCAGGCCGCCTTTGTCTTTCCAGTGGCGATGTTTACACACCTCACCAGGTACTCATTAAGGCTGAGTCGACCTAGGGGAGGCCCAGGACCTGTTCAGATAATCGTCACTGGTGTTTGCCTTGAGCGGGAATCGAACTCGAGTCGCCGGGTTCGTAGCGCAGCGCGCTAACCAGTACACTACCGCTCTCCACACCGTATGTATACAAAGATCCCCCGTATAGCCTTAACAGACTGTAGGGGCAAGTGCTGTTAGCGAGCACCTATGAAGGCCGGAACGGTACACGAAGGGGTGGGTGGCCAGCACCACGCCCTACCGCCTTTGTCTCCCCAGTGGCGATGTTTACACACCGCACCAGGTACTCATTTAAGGCTGAGTCGACCTAGGGGAGGCCCAGGACCTGTTCAGATAATCGTCACTGGTGTTTGCCGTGAGCGGGAATCGAACTCGAGTCGCCGGGTTCGTAGCGCAGCGTAGCGCTAACCAGTACACTACCGCTCTCCACACCGTATGTATACAAAGATCCCCCGTATAGCCTTAACAGACTGTAGGGACAAGTGCTGTTAGCGAGCACCTATGAAGGCCGGAACGGTACACGAGGGGGTGGGTGGCCAGCACCGCGCCCGACCGCCTTTGTCTCCCTAGAGGCGATGTTTACACACCGCACCAGGTACTCATTTAAGGCTGAGTCGACCTAGGGGAGGCCCAGGACCAGTCCAGATAATCGTCACTGGTGTTGGCCGTGAGCGGGAATCGAACCCGTGTCGCCAGGTTCATAGCGCAGCGCGCTAACCGCTACACTACCGCTCCCCACACACAGACACATACACAGACACACACACACACAGACACACGCACACAGACACACACACAGACACACGCAGACACACGCGTGCCCGCGCGGACATCGATTACATAAGCACCGTGTGCGCCCACATTGTTTTTAACGCGGCCGTGTTATTCACGGGCATTTACCGACACAAATCAATGGGCATCGATTTCGCCGCCTTTTACGACTTGGTGGAATTGAATCGCCCGTAAAAGAGCAAATTCTAAATTGAATGCACGGATTAGAGCGAAAGAGACCGAGAGAGAGGAGGGGGGAGAGATGCAGGACTAACGGATCGAATTAAGTCGCCTCGCTTAGCCAAATTGTCTCAGCGGCCCGTGAGGTCGTCATTTAAACCCCCCAAAAAACACAATTTCATTGATTTATTGACATTTCTTTATTTAACCCTGGCGTGGAACCCCGCTGAGATTCATCGCCTCTTTTTTGCCGTATGGGATAATATGGAAGGTGGACAATGCGTGAGATGGGTCGGCAGTAGCGCAAGTAGGTTCGCGGATTTTGTCTCTTTGCCCTTTTCGCGTTTAGGTTAAAATGGGGGGCGATGGCAGTGGAGGAGGTTGTTGGTGCGGCAAATGGGTTGATTCATCATCCGGTACGGGAGGTGGTCGTGCGGCGAGTAAGAAGCCGGTGAGTTTGCGTGAAGCGATTCGAACGATCGGATGCAAAAGTCTCGGGTGAAATGTCAGGGGCAGCGCAAAACACGAGGCCACGATGGCCGACATCTTTGAGAAAGTACATGGCCACATTGAGAGAGAGAGAGTACAGTAAGTAGGTGATTTCATGATTGCATCAACTTCATGCATTGTGACATTGGGGTTGTGATGGGGGGGGGGGGAATAGAATGTGGTGCAGCAAGTGGGATCCGTTCATTATCTCCGTTTTTGGGGTTAAGGCCGAGGGGAGGATGTGGTGTACAGGGGGAGGTAGTATAGCAAGTAGGTTCGAGAACCGACCGATCTGTGTGGAGCTTTGAGTGTCGCTCCCCTCGATTGCGTGGTGGGTTTTCTCCGGGTTCTCCGGTTTCCTCCCACACGCTGCAAAACACTCATTAGTGGGATCGGCCAAAACACCCCGAAGTGAGCAATAACTTCCTGAACACGAGTCCTGAGACTCGGCGAGGCTTTCCAAGGTCAATTATATTAATTATAGTCAGGGCCGTCCATAGCGGGGGGGGGGGGGGGGGGGTTCGGGGCAAATCACACCGCGTGGGCCCCACGTGACGTTAGTTTTACGTCAAAACGCGCCCCCCCCCCCCCAAAGCGCGGGGCCCGGGGCGGTCACCCCGATTCGCCATACCCTAGGGACGGCTCTGATTATAGTCTCAGTAATACGATACAATCTGGTTAATGGTGCAAATGAAGCAGAGGCCAAAATACACACAACGAGACAAACAAGCATAGATTTCCCCCCTCCATCCCCTCCCCAATCGAATCCCCCAATTGTGAACCTTTTCTTTCTAATCGCTGCAGGGAGAGTTAAGGGGGGTAGGGGGCTGGATCGCTACACGCCTAACAAACAAGACTCCTTCACCGTGCACTCACTGCGTCGACATCAACACCATCAGTCGGCGGGGATATTACATCATCATCATTATCATCATCATCAGCCACGATCGATCCACGACTGGACTAAAGCCTCCTCGAGCCGTCGCTACCGATAACAGCCCCCCGCAGCGCGTACCGGCTCGTCTGGCAACCGCGCAAAGGGAGTCGATCTCATCGCTCCGTCTGCGCAAGAGGCGGTGTCCTCTCGGACGCGTTCCCTCCGTTGGCCGCGTGGCGTCGAGATCCGGCGAATTCGCGGGACGTGAGCTTCCACGGCGGCGAGCCAGCGCTTGTAAAATGTAAGTCTCTTTCCCCTCCTCCCATCATCTCACTTACGACATAACTCCCCCACCCACCGACCCACCCATCTCTACACGCGTCCCCCACTCCGCCCACTCCACTCTCCCCATGAGCACTTCCAGCTACCCACTCTGCGTGCAACCCTCACCTTTTAGAGACTGCAGTTCTCTCTCGATCTTCCTCCGGAGGTCCATCTCGTGGAGCAGGAATTTCTGAAGCTCCTCTGCAAGAGGCAGAATACACACACACGCACACACGCACGCACACACGCACACACGCACACACGTACATCCAAACCCATTGAGTTGTTGATTCATTGAATCGTGCTTACGGGACGGATTCACGCGTTCTTGGCGAAACTCACTCTTCGCCACGTTTATTTTGGGGGACAAAATTATGTAAACGTCTCCATCATCATCATCATCATCACCACCAGTACAGATAATAACAGCGTAGCGTTTATTTAGGAATAGCCTCACTATAAGTCTCAAGGCACCTTTTCAGAATGGTCCTGCATTTAGGAAGTTTGGCCACATCCAGTAAAAAAAAACCTGTTAATTTACTCCGATAAACTCCGAGGGGGTAGACACTCAAAGCTCCACACAGATGGATTCACGAACACCCCCCCCCGCCCCTCCCGTTTTGCACTGCCACATGCTGACCACCTGACAGATCTGGAACAATTTCCACAAGTCACCAATCACGACATCCACCGCCCCTTGCCTCCAAAGCAATGGATTATAAGCGCGCACCACGATGTCCAGACACAACAAACAAAGATGCCCCGTGTAGCCTCTTGAAACACACTGTTGGGGCAAGTGCCGTTAGCGAGCGCAACATGAAAGCAGAAACGGCACACAAAGGGGGGGGGGGGTTTGGGGGTGGCCAGAAATCACGCGCGGCCGCCTTTGTCTCTTCAGCGGCGGTGTTTACACGCCGCAACAGGTACTCATTTTTTAGGCCGAGTCGACCTAGGAGAGGTTCAGATAATCATCACTGGTGCTGGTGGTAGTGAGCGGGAATAGAACTCAGGTCGCCTGATGCGCTAACCACTGCACTACCGCTCCCCACACAATAAAGACAAAGATCCCCCGTGAAGCATTAACAGACTTTTGGTGCAAGTGCTGTAAGCGAGCACCTATGAAAGCCAGCACGGCACACGAGGGGGTGGGTGGCCAGCACCACGCCCGGCCGCCTTTGTCTCCCGAGTGACGATGTTTACACACCGCACCAGGTCTTCATTTGAGGCTTAGTCGACCTAGGAGAGGCCCAGGACCAGTTCAGATAATCGTCACCGGTGTGAGCCGTGAGTCAGGAATGGAACTCGGGTCAACAGGTGCGCACCGCAGCGCGCTAACCGCTACACCACCGCTCCGCACACAATACACAAAGATCCCCCGTATAGCCTGTAACAGAGTGTAGGGAGCAAGTGCTGTTAGCGAGCACCTATAAAGGCCGGCACAACACACACACACACAAAGAGAGAGAGACGCATACGCACACACACCTCGTGCCGAGGAAGCGCTATATTATTTACAAGCGCGGGGCGCCCGTGCATCCTTCTCCTCGCCGCCGCCGCCGCCTCTCTTCGCCTCTTTGGGCATAAAAAGTTAATGGAGCGCTCGGGCAGGCGCGGGGTGCGCCACGAGACGCGGGACGCGGGGGGGGTGGGGGGGGGGCGAGGGGACAAGGGGGGGGGGGGTTGGGGAGGAGGGGGGGTACTCATTGCTCAGGATTTACGAGGCTCCGACTCAACACACGGGACACAAGAGCTGAGATTGGGGAGGGGGGGTGGTAGAAGTGGGGGGGGGGGGGGGGGGGGGGGGGTAAGTGGGTGGGGGTCAGAAAGTGGTGGGGGTGGTGGGGGGGGGACTTCACACCCCCCCCCCCCCCGTTAAACGTGAATCAGAATCTGTATTTATCCTCGAGAAATCCGATGAGCTGTGAAGCTTTTTTTCTTCCGCTCACAGATTTCCAGTCGGGGCGGGTCCGAGAGTCACAACGACCAACAATACAAGAACACCGCCCGTGGGAGTGCAAAGTATAGGACGGGTAAGGAAATCACTAAACAAATGTGTTAAAAATTAATCAAGTATATAAGTAAAATTGCATAAGTGCAATACTGCGAACGCAAGAGTGTCATGTTGCGGCCCTACAATTGCTCGCGGCTGGCTACGTACGGTGCGAAAGAAGTTCTGCACATACAGTACATATGTCCCTGAAACACCACCTGCCACGGTACAGGTCACTAAAGCGAACGCTCCAGGTTCGGGTTTCTCAAACTCCAGCTCTCGTCACCCACCACGGATCTCATTTTCACGTTCGCCGATCTCATCTGTTGAAATGTGAATAAAGTCATTACACGCTGCCCGCGTCTGATGGTTGGCGAACCAATAAGTTGGCGCGATGTTGAGAGAGCGCAGATTCAGGTGAATGAGAGAGAGCTGTGGATCTTCCGGCTCGCGTAAATAGGCAAACACACACGCGTAAGATCTTAATGTGACTCAGCGATCTGTAATAAACGCGGACCACGCAACAAAGACAAAGGACCCCCGTATAGCCTTAGCAGACTATTGAGGAAAGTACTGTGAGCGAGCAGCACCTATGAAGGCCGGGGTGGGTGGCCAGCACCACACCCGGGCCGCCGTTGACTCCCCAGTGGCGATGTTTACACGCCGCACCAGGTACTCATTTGAGGCTGAGTCGACCTAGGCGAGACCCAGGACCGGGTTATGTATTACCGCCACTGTTATTGGTCGTGAGCGGGAATAGAACACGGGCGCAGTGCGCTAACCACAGCGCCACCACTCCCCCCCACGTGCGGATCTATCATCATGGCTTGGCTTCGCGAACGAAGATCTAGGAAGGACATCCACGTCTTCTGCAGGCACGCTGGTGGCTGAAGAGGCCTATGCGGGACAAGCAGGTCCTGCCACAACAGCTGCAAGTATAGGTCTCATCTGGGATGGGTGCTGAGGGATCATGGTTCTTCCTCCTTCTCCTTTTGTCCTCCATACGGGCCCTGCGGGTATCTTCGAAGAAGGAGGTGGCCTGGTGGACTGTGTGCCGCCAGGAGTTGCGATCAGCTGCTTGTGTTGCCCACTGACGGTGATCGATGCAGCAAGCAGTGAGGGACTTCTTCAGGGAGTCTTTGTATCGCTTTCGTGGTGCCCCTATGTCGCGATGGCCAGAGGACAGTTCCCCATACAGCACGATCTTAGGCAAGCGGTGGTTCTCCATCCTGGCGATGTGCCCTGCCCAACGAAGCTGTGTCTTGAGGACCATGGCCTCGATGCTGATGACCTTCGCTGACTTGAGGACTTCAGTGTTGGCGACGAAGTCACTCCAGTGAATATTGAAGATTGTGCGGAGGCAGCGCTGATGGAAACGCTCGAGGAGACTCAGGTGACGACGGTACGTGACCCAGGACTCAGCGCCATACAGGAGAGTGGTCAGCACAACAGCTTTGTAGACGTTGACCTTTGTGGCTCTTTTAAGGTTTCTGTTGTTCCAGACACGTTTGTATAGTCTGCCAAATGCACTGTTTGCCTTGGCCAGCCTGTTGTCGACTTCGTTGTCGATCTTGGCGTCAGACGAGATGACGCACCCCAAGTAGCTGAACTGGTGGACAGCTTTCAGTTCTGTTTGTTCAATGAAGATGCTTGGTGGATGGTGCTCCTCATGGGGTGCGGACTGATGAAGAACTTCAGTCTTCCTCAGGCTGACTTCAAGGCCGAAGATCTGAGCTGTTTTCGCGAAACAGGACGTAGGACCGGGTTATGTATTACCGCCACTGTTATTGGTCGTGAGCGGGAATAGAACACGGGCGCAGTGCGCTAACCACAGCGCCACCACTCCCCCCCACGTGCGGATCACAGAGACAGTAATTCACAGAATCATTCATCAAAATAGAGTCCACGTCTCTCCGATAAACAGGGTCACGGCTCGATTCGAGGATCGATAAATGATTGTCTCGTTTTTACTGTCTCGTTCGAATCGATTCCACCTTTTTCTCGTCTAATTTGCACAAGCCGAGGTCACTCCGAAGCTCGTGAACATAGCAATGAGTGCGTATACGAGTTGCATGTCATTTGCGCTCGCATGATTCAATGCACGTTTTGAGCAAAATTGAATATTTGAAGTCAACGCATCCTTAAAATACCTGCTCGTACCTCTCGAGAGACCGATGTGATTACCCCCCCCCCCCCCCCCCCCCACGGTGACTGATTTTCACAAGTGTACAAATTGATGAATTGAACACCCTGTGGTGTAAATATACCGAGTGGAAAATAGAGTGCGCACTCTCCGTACAACCACAGTCCGCGTGGCTCAGGACGCTGAATGGAAATAAGCGGGGCATACGTCTCGCGTGTATCAGAATCGGAATGTTTATTTAGACTGGAGGAATCCGATGAGCTATGAAGCTCTTTGTCACATATGTCCAGTATATTTATATCGAGAGAGAAAGGAAGTCGGTCATAACCAGGGGCAAAGAGGATTATTCTTGAGCCTGGACTTGAACAGCCACGGGTGGCGGAGGGAACGCAGTTCCAGACTTGGGAGCAGCATTATTAGTGATCTCCCACTGAGCGAAGGTTGACTGCGATCCTTGCCAGAAGCCTCGCGTACGGCAGCAGAGAATTCGTGGGAGGGGAGTAGAGTGAGATGAGAGGTCTCAGACAATGTCTCGATGGGAGTACGATAGGTTGAGACGAGAGGGGAGAGGTATGGGAGTGCGTGGAGGGGAGTACAATAGGTTGAGACGAGAGGACAGAAGTAGTTAGGAGGAAAGTGGACACTGCCGACTTTGAACTTGATCCACGAATTAGCCTGGGAGCCTGTGGAGCAAGTGGATGACTCCACGTCTCGCTTACAGATGTGGTGCGGGGTGAGGAATGTGACAATTCATCTTCTTGGTTCTTTCGGTAAAGTCACGTAGAAGGGAAATAATAAAATAATACAAATAAAACATAATAAACTAATATAATAATAGATTAATATAATAACATTTATTATTATATTATTATATTTTTATTATTATTTTATTATGTTTTATTATTATGTTTTATTTTATTATTTTATTATTTCCATTCTACGTGACTTTACCGAGAGAACCAAGAAGATGAATCCCTGCAGTCACGAAAGCTTTAAATCGAAAAATGTGACAATTGTACATGTTGGCAACAACCACGGCGATGTGTCACGAACCCATGAATTCCCCGTGACTCCCTTTACCTCGATGGAACCATAGCGGCTTCGGAGGGCACCTTTCAGCCACTCTGTGCGGAACGTGCGTGGCACGTGTGCGGCAGGGCTTACCCTTGTCCATGCGTGTGATCTCGGGCTGGTAGTGTTGCTCCACGGGTGCCGGAGTGGCGTCACCTGCACCGCACACACCGCAAGGGCCGTGAGTCCAGCTCAGACAGTCGCGTTCGTCGCAACTCCGTTGCGCTAAATGTCCGCTCGGTCGGGTCAACATCTCGGGTCAACATCTCGGGTCAACATCTCGGGCCAACATCTCGGGTGCCGTGCGGTCTCAGCGCGCCCACCGTTGTGCACGTGCGCGGCCCCCCCCTTGCTCGATCGTGCGGTGGCTTCTGGGAGGGCCGTCCGCTCCGCCACCTCTCAGTAGAAGGGGGTTCCCCGTGCCTGGTGAGAATTAGACACAAAGCGGCGTGGTCAGTACACAAAGATCCCCCCCCCCCGCCACTAACTCCCCTCCTCCCCCACCCACCCCCTCACCCCGGGATAGCCTCAAGAGACAGACTTGTTGGGGCCAGTGTTGTCAAGGCCCCCTCCCCGGAGTTGTATTTATTTTTCGATTGAAAGCTTTCGTGACTGCAGGGATTCATCTTCTTGGTTCTTTTCGGTAAAGTCACGTAGAAGGGAAATAATAAAATAACATTTTTTTTTTAATAAATAATAATTACTTTTCTTTTTATTATTCTATTATTTCCCTTCTACGTGACTTTACCGAAAGAACCAAGAAGTTGTATTATTTGTTTTAGTTTTGAACTCGCAGTCACTGGGACAGGCGATGCGACGGTTTACAAATGGAGCGCCGTCCATGAGTGGACCGAGTAGTTCGCCTCCCGTGCAGAATACGACCCCAAATCCGAGAGTCTGCGGCCACAGCCAGCTGGCTAGCAAGTCAATGTCACACGCTAATTTGGCAATTAAGGTGAGTAAAGAAAGGAGTTTCACGCTTACGTATCCATCGTAAACTAACGATAACGCGTACAATTCGCACGTAGACAGCACTTACGGCGGTGGCTATTAGGAGCCTGATGTTACGTTTGTATTCGACTGATTATTTTACGCGGTAAGTTCGCTGAATAGAAAACGTGTTTAATGCATGATTGGTAGGATATAACGGTGGTCATAATGGCTAAATTATTTCTAACAACAGTTTTGTATTTTCTCAAGTAGACACGCATCTTAAGAGTGCGCGATCAACACATCTCAAGCTATAAGCTTCGTTTGTATGAATGCGCCTTGATAAATAAACGCGTGAAATTGCCGCGGCTTACATTTGTGAGTGGGTGTATGTGTGTGTGTGTCAACAAAGACAAAGACCCCCCGTATAGCCTTAACAGACTGTAGGGGCAAGTGCTGTTAGCGAGCACCTATGAAGGCCGGCACGGCACACGAGGGGGTGGGTGGCCAACACCACGCCCGACCGCCTTTGTCTCCCCATTGGTGCGGTGTGTGAACAGCCACATGGGGATACAAAGGCTGCCGGGTGTGGTTGCTGGCCTCCCATCCCCTTCGTGTGCCGTGCCGACCTTCATGTGTGCGACTCGCTAACAGCACTTGCCACTACTTTATGTGAACGTCTATATTGTTACCGTGTACATTGTCTGTGTAAGTCGCGTGTCAGTCAGTCGTTGTGCGTGTGTGGCGAGGGTTGGCGGGGCTAACTGAAACATTTCACGGCATCCGCGCCGCGTGCATCACGCCCAATGCATCATGATGATGATGGAGCAGGGATACCATTGTGCACACAGAACACACACACACAGTACGCACACACACAGTACACACACACAGTACACACACGGTACACACACAGTACACACACACAGTACACACACGGTACACACACAGTACACACAGTACACACGGTACACTCACAGTACACACACAGTACACACACAGTGCACACACAGTACACACACACACGGTACACACACACGGTACACACACACAGTGCACACACAGTACACACACACACGGTACACGCACACACACGGTACACACACACGGTACACACACAGTACACACACACGGAACACACACACGGTACACACACAGTATACACACACGGTACACACACAGTACACACACACGGTACACACACACACGGTACACACACAGTACACACACACACGGTACACACACACAGCACACACACACAGTGTACACACAGTACACACATACGGTACATACACACGGTACACACACACAGTACACACACACAGTACACACACGGTACACACACACACACGGTACACACACATGGTACACACACACACACACGGTACACACACACAGTACACACACACAGCACACACGGTACACACACACACGGTGCACACACACACACACAGTGCAGACACATACACAGCATACACAAACAGTACACAGACAGTGTACACACAACGTATCACACACACGGTACACACACAGTACACACACAGTACACACACACACGGTCCACACACACAGTACACACACAGTACACACACACACACGGTACACACACACACGCTACACACAAACACACACACAAGACAACTATAGAGATTCCCCCTCCCCTTATAGCCTTAATAGACGTGTGGGGCAAGTGCTGTTAGTGAGCACCTATGAAGGCCGGCAAGGCACACTAAGGGGGCGGGTGGCCAACACTACGCCCGGCCGCCTTTGTCTCCTCTGTGGCGATGTTTCCACACCTCACCGGGTACTCATTTGAGGCTGAGTCGACCTAGGGGATGCCCACACACACACGCACGCACCGGAGCGCTCTGCCGATCCACGTCCGTATTGGCCGAGCACGGGGGTCATGGGCGCGGGCGAAGGCCCATCATCTCGCTCCTCCTGCCGACAGGGACAGCAGCGTCATTGTCAACATCGCTCCCACCAAAATCTTCATCTTTATGTGTGTGTGTAAGACGCTTTGCTTGAAATCATCATCATCATCAGCAGCAGCAGCAGCAGCATCAGCAGCAGCAGTATCATACTCATAATCAACGTTTTTGGGTTAGATCGCGTTATTTATAAATGTGTCGTAACCCTCCACCACCCGACACGGCCAATCAGCAAAAAAAGTGTCACGTTGACAAAAGACAAATAGTTCACTGCTTTAGCCCACCGGTGTGTTGAAGCGTGAAACCACAACATTGTAAATGTTTTGGTTTCACGCTTCAACATTTATAAATAACGCGATCTAACCCAAAAACGTTGATTATGAATAATATTGGTCGCGAAAGCCTGCGTGTTAAACTGAGCAGTGTCAAAGTCAGCGGCGGCATCATCAGCAGAAGAATCATCGTTACCATCATCCTCATCATAATCATTACCACCGCTGCCACCAAATATAAGTATGAAAATCTTCAATAGATGTGTCGTTGTTCTCATAATTATAATCAGCAGCAGCATCAGCATCAACAGCAGCAGCAGCGGAAGCAATACTCATCATCATTAGCAGAAGCATAATCGTCATCATCATCATCAAGGCAATGACCTCCCCTATTTAAAACCCCCCATCAAAACTAATTACCGCACGGCCCCACGCAGCCAAGACGGGTTTCGCGTAAATGAGGGTCACCACAGCTAATGATCGCGATTAATTCTTTAATTATCTGTTACTCACATGCACGTGCAGACGCGCGCGCACACACACACACACAGCCTCAGAGACCCACACGGGCACACACAGAGAAACCGCGAAGACACACGCACACAGAGACACATACACACAGATACTCGCACAGAGACACAGACAGAAATACAAAGACACGTACACACGCACAGACACAAAAGACTAAGATCCCCTGTCGCGCTTCAATAGACTGTTGGGGCAAGTGCTGTTAGCGGAACACCGAATGAAGGGCCGGTACGGCACACGAGAGGGGGGGTTTGGGGCCAGAATCACACCCGGCAGATGTTTACACAGCGCGCCAGGTACTAGTTTATGGCTGAGTCGCTCTAGAGGAGGCCCAGGACCGGTCCAGATAATCATCACTGTTGCTGGCCGTGATCGCAGCGCGCTAACCACTACACTACCGCTCCCCAGACACGGATACATACACAAAGACAAAAATCCCCGTAAAGCCTTGAATACACACACACACGCGCGCGCGTACACACGCATGCCACGTTACACGCGGCTGCGGGTGACTATATAACGTTGCACGCGCTCATGTCAGCTCGTCACACACTGACTCGGCGTGACTGACCCATCAGCGGAACGAGATGAGCGCATCTGCGGATACGTAGCCGGATTAATATTCGTACGAGCAAAACACGGATACACCGCTTCATGTACACGCGAATGAACAGACGAACGAATGAATGGATGAGCGAACGATTCAACAAACTACTGAACGAATTAATGACCGAGCGGTCGGCTGGCTGACAGACTCACGTGGTGCGAATCAGACACGGAGGTCTTCCCCCTCCACCCCCCCCCACCTCGTGTTGTTGTTGTTGCAAGCTGTACTTTTAGTTCTCATCCATTCGGAAATGCATCCGCTGCGTAAATCGCTGCGTTCCGATGTCTGGATGTAAGACTATAGGTGTGTCTGTGTGTGTTTGTGTGTGTGTCTGTGTGTGTCTGTGTGTGTTCGTGTGTGTGTGTGTGTCTGTGTGTGTGTTTGTGTGTGTGTCTGTGTGTGTGTTTGTGGGAGCGGTAGTGTAGTGGTTAGCGCTACGCTGCGCTACGAACCCGGCGACCCGGGTTCGATTCCAGCTCACGGCCACCATTACCAGTGACGATTATCTGAACCGGTACTGGGCCTCCCCTAGGTCGACTCAGTCTCAAATTAGTACCTTGTGCGGTGTGTAAACATCGCCAGTGGGGAGACAAAGGCGGCCGGGCGTGGTGCTGGCCACCCACTCCCTCGTGTGCCGTGCCGGCCTTCATAGGTGCTCGCTAACAGCACTTGCCCCAACAGTGTGTTAAGACTATACGGGGGATCTTTGTCTTTCTGCGTTTGTTTGTTTTTTTTGCCAGTCAATGCTTTGCGTGCCTGGACGTGGGGAGTCGGCAGCGTCGTCAGTCAGCGCACTGCGCCACTACGAATCCGATGAGCCGAGTTCAAATGTCGCGAGCGAGAGAGAGACAGTGGCGAACAATATTCGAGCCGCCCCCCCCCCCCCCTATGGGTCGAATGAGCCTTAAAATGAGTAGCCGGTGGGGGTGTGTACCTATCATTATATTGAAGACAAAGGTGGCCGGGCGTGGTGTTTGACCCCCCACCACCCACGCACCCCCGCCACGCGTGGGTGGTGCTGCCCTTGATAATTGGTGCTCGCGAACGGGACACTTGCCACCAGCAGTCTGTTAAAGGCTATACGGGGGATCTTTGTCTTCTGTGCGTGGTTGGTTGCTCGCTTAACAGCACGGGACTTGAAGAGTTGGTTAACAGCTCTACTCGGGTTCTCTGGTGAAGTATGGTCAACCCCCCCCCAACCCACCGCCCCCCACCCCCCACCAATGCAATCTCCGATGCGGCGTGTGAATGCTTTCAAATAAAATGTTCTTATTTATCTCGGGAAGCCAAACTGAGCCATAGCACTCTGTTTCAGGAGGCTCCCGCTGTATCGGTTTTTTTACTTGAAGATTATTTGAGCCCAATTAATGATGAGTGTGTGTGTGTTATACAAGTGGGGGGGGGGGGGGGGGCGGACCACCCGGAGTAAAGCCACGTGCGCAAGGGAAAAACGCTCGATCCCCGTTTGGCAAAGTATCTTATCGTTAATGATATGATGATTATACGAGAATTATGTGCATCACGAGAAATTTACTCGCGATGCACTAGTACTGCACAAGCATATACTGTATTAAACATTACAACTCAATCTTAAGCAAGAGCTAATACAATTATTTACAAATAAAACAACCGCACATTTAAGTACGCACACACACAGAGAGGCGAGGAGCGAAGTTCACAACCGAGTCTTGGTGCGTGTTCTCCGTCCGATGGTCATCATCGTGTTTTTTTGTTAACCGAGTCGAAAAAAAACCGGAGCAAATGTTTTTTCCCCCCATTAATATTTGATGAACAAAATCTTAATTAAGGGCCGCGGTGTTTAGACCGCGTGGGGTTCTGCAATGGCTCGGAGTCACGGCGGAGACGAGCCGAGCGCAGTGGCGATGCCGTGGTTTTTTTTTAAGGATCGCGAATTCATTCCCACCCTCATTTGCATACCGGTTTACCAGCTCCATTAGTTAATGAGAAGGGTTCCAGTGGCCCGCGGCAAGGTACACGTTCGGCCACTGACAGCGGAAATTATTCACGATGTCCGACTTTAAATTTCGCTCTCCCCCCCTCCCGCCCTAAAACAAAACACAACTGGAGGTTAGAACGAAACGGTGCCCCCCCCCCCCTTCGCCTCACCCCCCGTCCCCCCTTAATCCACCCCCCCCGGCTCCCGTAGCCCCAGTCCTCACGGTCCAATTGCCCTTCCCCACACTCTCGCCACCCTCTCTCCGACCCGCCCACCACCGCCCCCCCCCCCCCCCCAAAAAAAAAACCCAGCAGGAGTCGTTTCCCTTTCGACAAAATGAACAGCGGATTTCGCTGGAACTCGGCGGCGGAAAGCGAAGCGGGTTCATCAGCCTGCCCAGGACTTAGGGGGTGGGGTGATCTGCGTCCACAGGGCATTTGCTTGCCGGGATGCTGTCGGCGCGAGGCCTGCACGTGGCAGTGTCGAGCGTCACGTTTGCTATGCGAGTATGTTGAGCTTCTTTCGCGCCGTACGTAGCCCACCCTAGATACGCCCTCGTGGGTGACGGTGGTGGTGGTGGTGGGGTCTTTATTTATTCCTCTACAGGCACTCAACACTCATCAGTTCCGTTGGCCGAATATCGCATTTCGGGACCCTTTTGAAAAAGGGTCCACACACTGTGAGTCATTCCTGAGTAGCGAATCGTGTGTGTGTGACTCCCGCTCACGACCAACACCAGTGTGACGATTATCTGAATCGGTTCTGGGTCTCGCCGAGGCCGACGCAGCCTCAAATGAGTACCTGGTGCGGTGTGTAAACATCGCCACTGGGGAGACAAAGGCGGACGGGCGTGGTGCTGGCCACCCACCCCTTCGTGTGCCGTTCAGGCCTTCATGGGTGCTCGCTAACAACACTTGCCCCAACAGTCTGTTAAGGCTATACCGGGAATTTTTGTCTTTTTTGTATGCATACATATACATACGTATTGGTGTGGGGTCAAGCGCTGCAAAGCAGTGGTTAGCGAACTGAATTTTGAAACCCGGCGCCCTCGGTTCGTTCCCCGACCTCACGGCTAACATCAGTGGCGAAGTGATATCGCAACTAGCCTCGGGACCAACTTCATCGGCCCGCAACGCGCCGACCTAGAGTCAAACAATCGCATGGCGAACACGGGACGGGGAGGTCTTCATTCGTTCAAGTTGATGTACAAAAGGATTTAACATCAAGATTGGATTTAAACGAACTGAATATGTCACGACTCGCACCGCCCGCGCGCTTTTGCGCGGGGGACACACGGCCGATGTGGCGGCTGACGTCATCACGCAGAAATGTTTCGATTTAAAAATTTCGTGATTGCGTGGATTCATATTCTTGGTTCTTTCGGTAAAGTCACGTCGAAGGGAAATAAAAAAATAAAAAAATAAAACATTATAAGATAAAATTCTCACGACGTTTCGGCCACAACGCAAGCAGCCGTCCTCAGGTTCTTCAGGTTCTTCACCTGAGGACGGTGGCTTGCGTTGTGGCCGAAACGTCGTCTTAATTTTATCTTATTATGTTTTATTTTTAATATTGTATTATATCCCTTCTACGTGTCATCACGCAGGTTTGCGCGGTGACGTCACCGCCGCGTAGCTTTCCCACCC